TCCCCAAGATGCCCTTAAGCACCTGGGGGTTGTCACCTCTGGGGCTGAATACAAGTGCCCATTCCTCGTGAAGCCCCTCAGTTTGGGGCGCGTGGTGCAAGGTGCACAGGGAGGACTCGCTGCCCATCCGAGCAGGTGGACAGTGTCCAGAGCCCTCAGTGACCTCACTGGCCTCTAGTGTCGGGGACCCAGGCACACAGGACCCTGCGCAGGAGCCGCAGACAGGCCGGCAGTGCCTGGACCTAAGCATGCTGCCTCCCAGCTCTCTGAGACCCTCGGGGGCCCGTTAGCCCCTCTGGGCTCAGGCAACTGCACTTAGGCACAGCTGGCCAGGTGTCCACAGCCAAGGCTCGGGTGCCCAGCCCACACCCCTCCCCACAGGGCCTGATCATCCCTCGGTGACAGATAGATGGCGCTGCTGTTCCCATGGCCAGAATGGGAGGGTGTCAAGGGGAGAGAGGGACAGGTCTCCCCTTGCAGCCTGGGGAGTAGGCTGGCACCTCGGGACACCTGTGGCGCTCTCAAGCAACGGCAAAACCTTCTCAGAGAGCATTGTCCTCTGCTAGAGCACAAACTGCTGAGCGGAGCGACATACTCCGGAGAGAGTGACTGCTGACTGCAGGGCAAAGCTCAGACCCTGGGAGGGGCGGAAACCTGGACTGTGTCGTAGAAGGAGCATAGGGCCTCCCTGGTGGCGCAACGGGTTTGGACTCAGCACTGCGAGCCAGCGCAGCTTCAGTGACAGAGAGTTCCATCCCCGCCCCAGTGGTGACCCACAGGGTGCAGCAGACCTCTCCTGACCCGCCTGCTGCTCCCCTCAGCAGTGTGCTTTGTCAATCTGCCTGTTCTGCTCCCCATGTTATAGGGCACCCCAAATCTGTTACATGACAGGGGGAGAGGGGCACTCCTGAAGCCCCAAAAACCTTCCTGCTCTAAGTGGGTTCTGCCATCCGCCGCGTCAAGACAAAACATACATAACTTTAATGAAAAGGGACTTTAATACAGTAAATATACAATATGGAACACAAAGAATATAACTTCTAAATCAAACACCTGAAGTGACCCGTCCCCTCGTGGGCAAAAGTCAACCCAAAAGGGATCGGCCCAGAGCAAGGCCTGAAAGCTGCCACAAGCCTAAAGCACCTTCTGGCCAGGACCCATGGAAAAGGGTCAGAAATGGCCAGACAAGTCTGGGAGGAAACGAGCACAATAAAATCAATATAAACACTGCCATAGTCACCTCCCTACAGGTATCTCAACCACATCTGCCTTAACCAGTCCAGGGTCAGGAAACAAACACGGTTTCTTCATCACATGCTTGCTGCTCCATGCGGCTTCCTCAAGTCTCCTGGCTCTCCATCCTGCTTCCTTCTCTTCTTTCCTTTTTCTCTGCTCAGCTCCACCCTCCTTCTGGGTGGGGCAGGGAACCTGGAACTCCCCTTTTTCCTAGGGACCACCCTGTTACACCCACTCTGTCTCTGGTGAAGCCTCTCACTGCCCCTGCACCTCTGGCCTGTATGCATCAATACAGTTCTGTGTGCATCAATAAATCTTTTTTTTTAAATCATGCTTAAAGCAAGACAGTAGATCTTGAATGTTCTCCTCACAACAATGACAATTGTGTGGTGTGAAGAACATGTAAAGTGACCTTATTTTCATGTTCACTTTGTAACAGCTACTTGTACCAAGCCATCCCTGGTAAGCCTTGGGTTCACGTCATGTCGGTTATGTCTCCAGGGGGGGAGTCAGCATGTCCCCCACAGACCACCAGCGAGCAGAATTCAGCAGCATGTTCAAAGGCTTGTACAGCACCACCAAGTGGGGCTGACTTCTGGAATGCAAGAATGACCTAACACATAAGACGGATTGTGTGAGACACCATGTTAACAAAGAAAGAAAAACATGATCACCTAGTTGATGCAAAAAGTAAATAAACTTCCACACCCTTCCATAAGAATAAGACAACCACTCAGCACATGAGGAGTCGAAGGAAACGACTTACAGGTAATAAGACCCCACATGAAACCCACAGCAAGCCCCGTGCTCGAGGTGAGGGAGCGAACACCTCTCTGAGACGCAGGGCCGATTTCACCGCTTGGATTCAGCATGGTTCCGGTGTGCTAACCAGGCTGCTTGGCAGGACTAGTAAATAAAAGGCATCCAGGTAGGGAAGGAGCCTGTCTGCAGATGACATGGCCTCACGTGCAGAAATCTGGCGGATGATACACATACAGGATCAGGGTTCATAAATTCAGCAAAGTTACAGGCTCTGAAAACAACACACACAGATCAGCTGTATTTCTATACACTAACGATGAAAATCCAAAAGGAAATTAAGAAAAACAACGCATTTATAATTACATCAGAAAAAAATACTAGCAATAAGCTTAGCCAAAGAGGTGAAAGACTTGAACAACACAGATGACAAAACATTGCTGAAAAAATTTAAATCACAAATAGATGGATCTGTGTTCATGGATTGGAAAGTTTATTATTTAAATGTCAGTAATCCCCAAGCTTTTTTTTTTTTTTCAGAAATAGAGAAACCTGGGGCCACTGGGGTCAGTCTCAGCACTATGAAGCTGTCCACAGCTCCTGCACCTGAGTGTGGCCAAGGAGTGATCCAGGGGCACAACAGACCTCTCCTGTCCCCGACTGCTCAGCTGTGGGTTTCAGATGATCCGCCTGTTCTACTCCCCACTTTACCTCTGGTGAGTCCCTCTCACCCCTGCACTTCTGGCCTGTAGTCCAGTTCTTGTGTGCATAAATACATTAAAAAAAGAAAATATAAAATCCTACCCTAAAATTCATATGGCATTTCAAGGAATCCTGAGTAGCCAGAGCAATTTTGGAAATAAACAACAAAGCTTTAGGGCTCACTTCTGATTTCAAAATGGATGACAAAACAACAGCAATCAAAACAGTGTGGCACTGGCATGAAGACAAACCAGCAGGGTGAATAGGGAACCCAGAACCTAGCCCTCACATGAGGTCAAATTGTTTTCGGCGAGGTGCAAGAGCATTCAGAGAGGGGAATCATGGTTTTCCATCAATGGTTCTGTGAAAACTGGACATCTCCATGGACCCTGGCCTAACATACTCCAGAAATTAACTCAGAGGACCAAACACCTAAATGAAAGGCTTCAACCTTTTTCATTTTTTAGTTGACCTGCCCTTTGGAGGAGGGTCACTGGCCCTTCCTGTACCCAAGCCGAGGGAACCACACAAAGACATAAGCAGGAGGTAGGGTCATGGGGACTCCACAGAGACTGCCCACCATAGACAGAGGGACCCTTCAAGAGCCAAGAGGAGAAGGTCAGGTTCCCGCAGTTTTTAAAGCTGGCAAAAGAAATGGCGTTTCTCGGAAAAGGAAATCACCACCATTTAAAAAGATTTCCCCCAAAAGATTTCTCAACGCCACCAGCACTCTGAGTGACAAATGGAAGGCATAACACATTG